CAGTCTCTAGCTTCTTCTCAGGGAGGGTCTGCCCCCTCACACTGACCTGCCCATAGGAAGCACCATAGGCAGGTGAAGTATGCATGTTCCTGAAAGAAAAGCTGAGCACTCTGGGCTGTCTCCACCAGCAATAGCACAGAGTTAAGAGCAGGGACAGCTGAGCACATTGGCACATGCCTGTAATCCCAGCAACTTGGGAGGCCAAGGCAGGAGGACCGCAAGTTAAAGACCAGCCTCAGTAGCTACGCAAGGCCTTTTTTAAATTAAAAAAAGAAAAAGGCCGGAAAAGGAAGGCCGGGGGAAAACAACTGCCCAACAAAGAAGAAACCCCGGGGTCAAACCCCCAAAACGCAAAAAAAAAAAACAAAAAACCCGGAAACTCTCACACCGAGCCCCAGAGGTGAAAAGCGGCGCTGCGACACTCTCGCGCTGTGGGACCAAAAAAAAAGCGAAAAACGTCTCTGCCCCTATATTCTCACATCTAAAAACAGAAGAAAAGTAAGAGCTATATGGGAGAAGAGGGAGACAGAGAAAAAAAGAGAAACTATACAAAAAAAGAGAAAAACAAAAAAACACACAAAACTCACAAGAAAACACAAAAAAAAAAAGAAGAAAAAGGGGGAACAATCCGGGAAGGGAAAAGGGGAGGCCCGCCCCCCGGGCCGGGGGAAGAAGAAGGCCAAAAAGGGGGGGGGGATGGGGGATAGTCTTTCTAGGGATCCACCCAGTGCCAAGGCCTGGCTTTGTTCCCATGTTGGTTTTTCTTCCCAGGCTCAGCCATCGCCTACTCTGCATATACGTTTCCTGAAGCGCTGGTGCAAACCCCCTTCCATGACTACTACATAGTGCTGGCCGTGCTGAACACCATCCTCAGCACCGGCCTTTCCTGCTACTCCAGGTACCAGGCTCTCTGAACTCAGATGGGAGGATAGGGAGGGGGGCTTAGCATGCAACTCCGTGGCATTTGAGGGGTCCACGGAGGAGGTTGGCTGGGCGGAAAAGGCACCGGGAGCCTGTCTCCATTCCGGGTGGATCCCCTGTCACTGAGCACTATAGGTGTGCACAGGTGCTGCCCCACAAGGCCCCTTGCTCAGAAGAGCCCATGCTTGGTTTAATGCTCTGAAATTCTTAGTGATTTTGGAACAAGAGTGACCCCCACTTCGATACTGTACTGGTTCCTATAAATGATGTAGCTGACTTTACTAGGCAAGTCACTTAGCCCCCTTGAACTTCAGTTGCTCATTTATAAAGCCGGGCCAATTCATCTGCCTTCTGAGATGGACGTGAGGATGACAGGTAATGTTCCCAGGATGCCTCTCACAAGCCCAGACGGTGGAGGTGCCTTGTAACAGGCAATCTACCTCTCATAGCAACGGAGGGGGCCTGCCTCTCTGCGTGTGTGGTGGATGACGCATGATAGTCAAATGCCCAGCTCATCCCCATGGCTGTGGGTCACACCCAGCTCACTACCTCTAATTCCCACTGTTCTTTTCCCTTTTGCTCAAGAAAACCCCTTGGGATGTGAATGAGAGAGGCGTTGTTATGGGGACAAGTACACTAATTTCTATACCTCTTGGCAAAAGTTTATTTTCCAAAAGCTCAGGTTCCCTGTAATAATGTGGAAGGTCAGGGGACTTTCCACAGGGCTGTATCAGGGTGACAGCCCTGTCCAGATAGTGCTGAGGTCCCAGGCAGCAGCAGGTCAGGAAAGGCATCAAGGCAGGCTGCAGATTGCCCCTTGGTTCTTGTCCCCCAAGTACAATCCCAGGAAGCCATTGTGCTCCATTTGGAACACCTGAAGCCCTCCACTGTCTCTCCCCAGGAAGAACAGGTATGTGAGGTGTGCCCTTGTAACTTCTCCAGGCTCCCATTTCCTTGGGTTTTGTAGGATCAAGGGAAAGTAGACATTTCACAAACCCGACAAACGGGTTTTTTGAATATGTGGAAGGATAGATTCTTCAGCAGCAGCAGCAGGAACATCCGTCCCAACTTGACTTCATTTGCCTGCACTGAGATGGGACAGGGGTGTGGAGTTGCTTTTAATGGGAGAGGGTGCTCCTTGCTGGCACGGGCTCAACACTGGATTGTGCGTGGCTTCCTCCCCAGGGAGTTGCTGGGAGCAGGAATGTATGCTGGGGTAAGCTTCCTTCCCTTCCTGGAAATCCAGAGCTCCCCTAAAGTTGTGAGGAGCCAGTGTCCACCCACAGAGGTAGAGAATAAAGTAATACCCCCTCAGGGACACACCTGGGGCCTGGTCCTTGGACACATACATCACTGTTCCTGTCAGGTTGATTCCTGGAGACCTGAGGCGTTTGGACTTCTGCATTAGAGGAGGGTGAGCACAGGGATGAGGGGACAGAGGTGGCTTCATGGGCATGGAAGAAACATCCCCAGAGTTAATGGATCAAAACTGCTTTTCAAGAACTCAGAAAGTAAATTCTTGGATCATTTGTCACTTTTTTTTTTTTAATTTCTCTTAATCACCTGCAACCACCAGGAGAGTTTGTTTTCTTCCAGCCCCAGTCTCCCTGACCGTTCAGCTGTGGTGGATGGCCTTTGGATTTGGTATGCCTGATGTGTTTGGATGAGCTTGTTTGCCTGGCAGCTGGGCCAAGAATCTCCTGAATGCCCATGTTTGGGGCCTTCCTTCCTTGACAAGGGAATAGTTTATTCTGTCTATGAATGGAGCACATCTGCGGCTGTTCCAGCCATCCTCCCCCCTACCCATCCACTCACCCACCCCTCTACCCATCCACTCACCCACCCCACCTTCCTTAAAGCCTGCCAGGCTGGGAATACCGGGAGGAGTAAATGGCTGCCCTGGCTTCAGAGGGTACCAAGGAGAGGCAGATTACAGGCCTCCCCAAAAGCCCTTTAGGGCAGCAGGACAGGGTAGGGGAAACAGTAATGCAGATGCAAAATGACCTGTACAGGGCCCTAGGGAATGACCTCAGGACTGAGCCTGGGAGGAAGCTCGTTTAGCTGGAGAGGGCGAAAGGAGGATCAGCCTGGATGAGGGTGGTGGTGGTCATGGAAAAGACAGGACAGGTTGGAAGAGGTGAGGAGTTTTCGAAGGGGAGGGGAGAGCACTAGGAAGGCCTAAGGAGGGCAGGCTGCAGAGAGGACACAAGCTGTGTCCTCTGAGGACATGTCCTTTGCTCAAGACAGACATTGATCTCCTGGGAAGAGACTTTCCTAGGCTTGGCTTCTGGCTTCTGCAGCTGCTGCAGAGCAGCTCTGGGGCTGTGCAGGAAGAGGAAAGGAGAATGGGCGTCCCAGCAGGGCTCTTTGGGTTCTATCACACCTTGTCCTCTTCCCATGTTCCCATATCCATGGTGGTCTCCCTGCACTCACCAGGCCTAACCTCCTCAGTCCCCATTGGCTCACTGTGCATAAGAGTCTGGAGAGTGAGAAAGATGACTGGTATTGGGGAGTGAGAGACACGCTGGCCCTGAGTGACTTCCTGTTAAGGAGATGGAGAGGAGGGCCTGGATCCCTCCTGCTCCCCTTTCACCAGGGCAGGTTCCATCTGGCTGGGTGTCCTGCAGTACCTGTGCCACAGTGTCTTCCTCCCCAGACCCAGCCCTGCCTCTCCCTTCAGCTCTAGCAGTTAGAGCTCTGCTGAGCCCCTTCCCCTCCCACAGCTCTAACAGGACCAGGAACCTGGGCGTTCACAGGCCCAGCAGGTCATGGGTTCACGGCACTTGCTCCAGTGCTGTTCAGACCATTAGGGTCCATCTCGACATGGGGGACTGTAGTGCCCTGAGTGGTGTTTTGGTTCTTAATACCAAGGAACTTAGTTCAAGGAAGCATGTTCCAGAAGAACATTCTTTCCCATTCTATAGCATTTGAAGGGGTGGAGGGGGAATGTGCACCCTCTCTGCATCGGGGAGATCAGGATGCTGGCCTGCCAACTGCCCAGCAGCCCAACAGCGCAGCCTCACTCCCTGTAGGAATGCTACTTATGCAGTGTTTGCCACGCGGCACAAGTCTCTGTGAATCATCTGTCCCGCAC